CAGCTCGGGGCTAGAGCAAAGTCATGCAATGGAGGTAGAACTCTAAACATTGGTTTAATCTTTCTGTTTGCTCATCAGTTGCGGTGGGGTAGAAAGTTTTACCCGAAAAACAGGTGTTGAATAAGAAATTTTCTATCTGATTCGGGTATAGGCAGGTAAAGGTATTGTTGACACGAATATTTTGTTACTTAAATGACCGTGATATTTTTTCTATATAGTCTTACTATTTATTTTCTCCGTAATGATGTAATTATTTACAATTTCTATTATAAGGAAAATTTTTCTATTTGTACTTAGATAGTCTTGTATATATATGAGTCAATTGTATCACCTAAAGAAGTAAAAAATAAAGTGCAAATATTTTTCCTAAATTTCTACATGGTATCAGAACAAAATAAGGTTATTTTAGGGTTTTAATGTCAGGGTTTATTTCAAAACCCTAAAACTCCTAGAATCTTCACAACACCCACCCAAACAGAGTACTAATCTCACCGGCAGCCGACCGCCCTATCCCGGTGACTTTCTCCGTCGTACCCAATTGCCTACTCTGCTCGCGTGTGGCTATTTACATTGTCCTTCGCGCGCATCCTCCCAGTTCATGTCGTTCTTCTTCTTCGCAGCTCTTTGGTTCGCGCATTACTTCTTCGCAGCTCACTGATTCGCGCGTCGCGCTGCCATTCTCGCAGCCACTGATTCACATTGACCCTTCAAAACGTTCTGTATTTTGTGCATCAGTTTTTATGCAATGAATAAGCATCACAGATTGGGTCGCATTAGCTCCTCTATTCGGGTCATACCAATTTTTTGTGCACAGTGGTTTCTGGTTTCTTCCGTTCGGTTTCCTCCACCGCGCGACTTGGTTTCTGGGTTCCACGCGCCCGTGCGCCCTCAGCCTTCTCAGCTGTGCAATTGTCGCACCTTCTCTCAGGTTGCAACCAGGTCAAATTCTCTCAGCCTTCTCAGGCTGCTGGTTATTCTTTGGACCAAGTCTGTTATTTTAGTTATTCTTGGTATCTTGGTTATTCTCTCCTTAGATTCGATTCTGATTCCGGTAATATTCTCTTATCTCAAAATTATTTTCGGCTTTTTGTGGTGCTGATTAAGAATTGTGTTTTATCCCTGAAAGAAATATTACTGGGTACTATTGTTGTTTTTAATATTCAAAAATGACATAAGCAAAAAAAGTTATTGTTCCCAATTCTGATAAACCATCATTACAAATCAGTCTCGTCAAGCTTGATGGAACTAATTATCTTTATTTGGTCTAGATCCTATTTACTGTTTATCAAAGCTAAAAGTTTGCAGGGTTATATTATTGGTGATGTGAATAAGCCAGAAATCAGTAGTTTAAAATATAACAGATGGGACTCTGAAAACTACTTGGTCATGTCTTGTCTCATTAACTCCATGCAGCCTCAATTCCCGAACATATCTGTTGCTCGACACCGCCGTAAAAATATGGAATTTAGTCTCTTACATACTCACAAGTGGGTAATAATACTCAAATTTATAAACTCCGAAATAAAGTTCACAACACAAAATAAGATGAATTGACTATCTATCAATATTTTTCTTAACTCAGTAGATTATGGTAAGAGCTCGATTATTATCAAGATTTTGAAGCAGATTGCCTAAGAAATGTTGTCAAATTTCAGAAAATAATAGAAAATGAGCGGATTTATGATTTCTTGGTTGGTCTGAATGCCGAATATGATCAAATACGGGTTCAGGTACTTGGAAAAGATCCCCTTTCCTTATTAGATCAAACTTCTTCTTACATTCAGAAAGAGTAAAGTAGAAGAATTGTCATACTCCACATAGCACTAATTGAGAAAGCTGGGTTAATTGCTCAATCTGATCACTCCAAAAAACCAACGGAATTATGACTATTGTGAGAAGCCAAGACACACTAAAGAGACTTACTGAACATTGCATGGATGACCCACTAGAGGACATGGGAGAAGGAAAGGTGAGCCTATGAGAGCTCAAGCAAACTTGGTTGAAGCAAATGAAGCACCTGACACACCAACAGTTGGAATTTTTTCCACCGAAAAGATTCAGAGTCTAAAGCGTATTCTGTCTCAACTTAACTCTTCAACAACTATTGGTGCATCACTTATGGTAAAACCATGTATTCCTTCTCTCCCTCTTCTTTCCACTCCTAATATTTGGATTATAGACTATGAAGCTAACAGACACATGACAGGCTCTTCCACTGAATTTCTAACCTATTTTTCTTGCATTAAAAGAGAAAATGGTCGTATAACAGATAAGATATACACTCCTGTGTCTGGAACAGGTCACTAATTATACTCTGACTATCACACTGTCTTCAATTTTACATGTACCTAGTTTTCCTAATAACTTTTTATCTATTAGTATCATTACTAAAAATCTAAACTATAAAAAATAATTTTTTCCTTATTATTGTATCTTTCAGGATCTTCGAACGAAAATGATGATTGGCACTAATAGACTGTAAAATGGCTTATATATCTTGAAAATAAGTTAGAACTTAATTGGGAATCAAGCTACTATTGAGAACAAGGAAGTCAATCTGGAAATACTACAATGGCACTGGCGGTTGGAATATCTTTCCTTTTTTATTTTAGAAAAATTATATCATGTGTGGGGACCTACTCATAATACTTCTTTATTTTGTCATCGATGGTTTATTATTTTTATTAACTGTTGTATTCGATTAATATAGATTTACTTGTTGAAAACAAAAAATGATGTATTTTCATGCTTACAACTATTTCATAAAATGATATATACACAATTTGATGCTAAAGTTAAGGTCCTGATAACTGACAATGGTACATAATATATGAATAGTAGGTTCCGTACTTACTTGAAGTCAAATAAGATAATTTATCAAACAAGTTGTGCCTACACCAGTGAACATAATGGGGTTGTTGAAAGAAAAAATTGACACATACTGAAAATAGCTCGGTCACTAATGTTCACCATAAATCTACCTAAAAGTTATTGGGGAGATGCAGTTCTCTCAACTGCCTACCTTGTTAATAAAATGCTTTTGCGGGTCCTTGATTTTAGAAATCCTCTAGAAGTTTTGCAATGTACAAATCTTCTGTCTGTCTCCAAAAGTGTTTGGATGTGTTCGTTTTATCCATGCTAGAAATGTGAGCAACCTCTAACCTAGAGCTCTCAGGTGTGTATTTGTTGGATATTCTCCAACTCAAAAGGATTACAAGTGTTATCATCCGCCAACTAAAAAATACTTTGTAACTATAATGTTACGCGTAGAGAATCTGAATTATACTTCAGCTCTACCCCAACACCTCTTCAGGAGGAGAGTAAAATGGAAGAAGTAATGCCCAATTCTGTAACTCTTAACAGTCATATTCAGGAGGAGAACTCTATGTTAGAAAATCTTATTCAAGAAGAAAATGTTGGA